TTCCTCTGTGGATAGGCTGTCATTGTTAGTCACCTCGTTGACATTTGAAGGTATCCAGCTCTGAGAGTTCACACAGGTGTGAACTCTACAAAAGGGCTCGAGCTGTGAGCTGAAGAAAACAGGTAATAGCTCTGACCACAAAAGGGAGGAGAAAGCCTAAATGGGTCCTTTAGTCCTCATCTCCTAGTCCCGCCTATCTTGCCTTCCTATTGTCCAACAGTGCTTTATTCATTAACCAATAAGAGAAACATATTTACAGAATGACATCTCCCATCAGTGACCAGTTTGGATGTTGTTGTTGCCATTGTCTAACCTTTCCAACACAGAGCAAAGACTCCTTTTGAGGATGTGAAACTTGAGATAAAAATTAAGAATGAGAAAGAGGCAATGAAGGGAAATTCCAGGCAGAGGAAGATTTCTTTCCAAAGCCACTGAGGCAGAAAAGGGTTCAGTATGTTGCCTTAGAAGAAGAAAGAGTGATTACCAGAGGTGCAGATGATAGAGAGATGCTGGGCAAACCCAATATGACTAAAGCTAGAAAGATGGAAAATATCCAGAATAGGCAATGAAGTAAGAAAACAGCACTTGGTGAGAGGCCCTGGGAATGTGAAATTGGAGGGTAAATTGGGGAGAGGAGAGGAATGGGAATGACTATGAAGTCCCGTTGAACTTCTATGTGATGAAAATGCTGTTAGTCAGTGGTGGGGATGGAATGTTCAATTTGGAGGACATATTGAAATGTGGGAGTGTATACCTTAAATAGATGAATTATATAACTTAGGAATTGCGTCTGTTGTTCTTTAGTTACAGTTGTAAGAATAAAAGGCTGGAGGGGCGGGTGGTCCCGGGTGAGGGTCCCAAGGTAAGGAACCACGTGGGAGAGCAGAGCAGGTTTCCAGAGCAGGTGAGGGTGACGGGGGAGGGGGGGCAGAGTAACACGCCAGGCAGATAGAGCTTAAATGAGTTTACTTAGAAAGGGGAGTGAGGGGTAAGGGAAGAGATATAGAGGCACCTGGAACAGAAGAGGAGGGGGGGAGAATAAGAGGGGAGGAGCTGGTGGCCAACCAAAAGCAGGAGAGAGAGAAAGCTAAAGAGAAAGGACAGGAAGAGAGAAAGCAAAAGAGAGCATATGTGGGCGGGGTCTGACTTTTAAAGGGGTCCTTTACATCTGCCTGCAGACTAGTACTGATGGAAACCTGGGCTGACCAGAGCACTGCCTGAGTACCTTCTGCCAGGTGACAGCGGCAGGCCAGCGTAATGCCTGAATCCTTAGTGTTTCCATCCCAATAATCTTCAGATATGCTTCTTAATTTACATATGCTAAATGCACACACGTTCTTTAGTATGCACACAGACATTCTCTTTCACGTTAGGGCTTTCTCAGCAAACATATTCTAGGTCATCCACGAGAATTCCCTGAGCTCTCTCCTGAGGCTGGTGTACTGCAGTGAGAAGTAGCTCCCTGCCTGACAGCTGCAAACAGCTTTCAGAGTCGTAGTGCTGTGGTTTCTTTCAAGTTTCTCTTGCTTTCTTTTCCCGGAAATTGTGGTGATTTGAAACCCATTCCTGACATTGCTCATGATAGCTGAGAAACAAAATACACAAAGAAAGTCAAACACACCACCACTGGCTTTACGGTGTGTGAACAGAAGCTGTTTTTGAGAAGACCTTGTTCAAATCATAGATTTTCCCAGAGTCCTTTTAGACGCCGCTGCTTTATATGAGTTCACGTCCACTGAGAGTTTAATTTCTGAGCAGTATTCTCTAGACTATTACTGGGTATAGAGAGCTGGATTATATTCAAAAGACCCGGAACTCAAACCACTCACAGAGCCAGAGGTGTTCTAGGAGAAACTTGAGGCAGGACCAGAACCCTCCACGGCTGTAGAAACTTGTGGATCTAGCATGATCACCCTCCCCCAGGAGATGGATCTGTGAGCACAGAGGAAGAAAATCCGGGGTGGAAGTGTGGGGGTGGGGGGCTTTTACAGACACAAGCTGACCCAACTGTAAGTTCTTACAATGCAGGCTGTTTCCAGGCAGAATTTCAAGTGAATGTTGTGCTCTATAAAACCCTAACCCTGACCTTCCTTCCACCTGCAACGTTGTCCTCATGACGTCCACCTTGCTTCTGGCCTCTCACACCCCACTGCCCTGCTCTTCTTTACAGCCAGGCTTCCAGGGTCATTGCTTGTATATTAATTGCAGGACACTCCCCGTCATTCCGCTTTCTCCCTCGGTCTATTCTTTAGAACTACCTCGTTTTCTACGTCTTTCTGCTTTACTATTAGGAGTAGCATGAGACCTTTCCATCTTGATCTTCTTGTATCTAACAGTATCAGCTACTTCCTATAGGAGCCAAGCACAGCCTGTATGATTATTAATCACTGTAATGAGTGCCTGACTGAGGAGATGAACTAGCTAGTGAAATGGTTAACAAATTAATATCCTTGGAGAAGGAAGCAGACCGTTTATGTGGGAAAGAAAATTCGGATCTTTGACAAGAGCCAGAGAGTAGAAAGTTACCCGCTACCTCCATTAAAGTTGGATAAACAAAAGAATGAAAACAGATGGTAGAAGGGAGACATTCTGAGTGGCTTTGAACTTTGGTAGAGGATAAACTATTTTACAATGGTGGGAAATCTCATGTTTGACCAGTATAGAAAGTAGTCAGGAAAAGGCTAGCCCTTTTCAGCATGAAAATATGGTTGGGTTGGAGGTCTTGTCTAATCTCAGAAGGTATTTTGGGTTGCCCTGGTTAGTACTTGGATGGCAGAGATATAAGAATAAGGATTAGTCAGGCTGGAAAACGGCATTTTCATTAGGTTTCGTTAAGGAAAACTGGAATAAAGCCACCTGCGTGAAGGTTATGAACAGAGCCAGGTTCTTTCTTGATGGAATATGGAAATGGTGGATGAAGAACAAAAACAAAACATAAGCAATGAGAGGAAAATTAACCAAGACTCATGGGAGGGAAGACATTTTAGAAGATTCGGACTAGAGAGACAAGAGTCACAGCTGACTAGATTACCTTTGGTAGCCCTAGTGAGGCTGTAGGACAATAAACATCATGGCCTGACTTTCTTCTAACCATACATTGAAAGAAGTGTCACACCACTCTTAGGTTTTTGTCGTAGATCAGAGTCACCGGTGATAATGGTATTGTGGAACTAGGAAGGCAAGCAGACTAAGAAAAGAATGTTTCTTGACCCATTTCAAAAATCCCCTTTGAGGTACACGCTATTAATACTTACCAAATGAAACAAAGCAGCTTGTGTAGGCATCAAGAGCAGCCAATTTATTGGGACCCTCCACTAGACTCTATGTGGATACCCTCCTTGTGGTCAGCTAAAAGTCACATGAATTATTCAGGGTAGTGCATGGTCATCAAGTACCTGCACCAAGTACCTTGGTCTAAAACTGAGCACACACATGGAGCCTGAAATAATACAGAGTGAAGTTAATTGTTCGTATATTCCTGGAGATATAGTCTAAGACATCGTTGGATTGGTCAGTCTTTCAACTACATGCCCCAAATGCAGTTTTACTCATATCCTGCCCAACTTACCACAGTAATCATGAGCCAGCCACTACTACTCCTCATTGACAAATGAAGATGCTAAGTTTTAGAGAGTAGCAACGCACACAGAGACAGAACAGTCAGGTGCAGAGTTGCGTTCTTTCTGGTATTCCCTCACTTCATTTGGGAGCCCGGGAAATAGCAGGGTTTAATGTCACAGCCTTGATTACAGTTTGTATCAGAAGAACTTTCACGTAAAGAGTGAAGACAGGGGGTATGTTAGATGTGGCTTCACCTTGAAAGTCTTTGGTTCAACTAGTGTTCTGTTTTGGTTTTTGTTGCTGTTGTTTGTTTTGTTTAGAAACAGAATCTCTCCGCGAAAGCCCTGGCGGCCTTGGAACTCCAGGTGTAGACCAGGCTGGTTTTGAACTCACAGATATCGACCCGCCTCTCTCTCCCCAGAGCTGTGATTAAAGGCCCACACACCAAGCCCAGTGTCTCTTGAGTAGCCACACACCCTCCTCTGTGCTGATGGTCTGTAGTCATGAAGTAATAATTTGACATCCCTGGAAGTCAGTGTTGTAGTATACCTGTGAAAAATATCCATTACACTAAGGTAAATTAACAGTACATTCAGCCTTTGGGGATATCAGAGAGAGAGACAGAGAGAGAAAGGTGGGCAGTCAGCATGAACTAACCTGGCACCCCTATAGTCCAGTGGGGGCCCCCTTATAGAAGAACTGGAATTTGTCTTCATTCACAGTTTTTGCTGTGGTTTAGCATATGAAGGGAAATGGGAAAGTGTGCCTGTACTTCCTGTAAATGCTGTGCTTTTTTGTAATTGGGTGTTGGGTTGGAATTAGGGTTGATGAATAGTGGGGAAATTTGGTAACTTTCTTGTTTTGATTAATTGGCTACATTGTTAAGAGGTCGCGTTGCCTTGGAGACAACAGAACAACAGTTTCCGTGTGACACGGCCTCTGCGTCCTGCTCTGTCCTTTGCAGCTTGGATCCTGGAAGGCTGGGTAGAGGCTGAGAGCACAGGAAGAAGTGACAGGCACACAGACGCCCAGCAATGAAGCTGGGATCAGGTGGGGCTCTCCCCAAACCTTAGCGTGTATGTTAGGTACAGCACCGGGAGGTGTTAGACCGGAAAGCCACCTCTGGAGGCCAGCATTCACAACCTGTAAACTTACAGGAGAAAGCTGCCTTTGCTACTCTTTGCACGCACTGATCAACTGTTTATAAATGTGCGTACTCCTACTGCCAAAGAAAGCTTTGCCAATACTCTTGGTTCTGACCCATATGGCTTTGCCACTTTACTATGGACCAACTGGGTCTAGGAGTCCTCGACAGACTGCCTGTGTCAAAATACCTCTCACTCAGGGCTTCCTCTGCTCCCTACAGCCTTGGGATGGGGAGGTCAAGGATCTAGGGGCCTATTTGTGGGCCTCTGCCAGAGCTGGCTTGGTTGAAAAGGAAAAGTGAAACCCGGAAAGGGCTGAGAAGCCCTCTTCCCCTTTCTAAAGTTGCTTCAAAGCAGGGTGTAAAGTCCTAGACCTGGCTCATTCAACCCTCCCGGCACATAGAGCATAGCCGAAACTTCTGGAGCCACGGGGTGCCCAGGTTGAGCAGAATCCATGGAGAAGTTCAAGGCAGTGCTGGACCTGCAGAGCAAGCACCGCAATGCCCTGGGCTATGGCTTGGTGACCCTGCTGACCGCGGGTGGGGAGAAGATCTTTTCCCAGGTGGTGTTCCAGTGTCCCTGCAGCGCCTCCTGGAATCTGCCCTATGGCCTGGTGTTCCTGCTGGTGCCAGCGCTGGCTCTCTTCCTCCTGGGCTACGCGCTCAGCGCGCGCACCTGGCGCCTGCTCACTGGCTGCTGCTCCCGGAGCGCTAGCGCGCGTTCCAGCTCCGGGTTGCGCGGCGCGTTCGTGTGCGCGCAGATCAGCGGGGCCGCCGCGCTGGCGCCCCTCACCTGGGTGGCGGTGGCGCTGCTCGGGGGCTCCTTCTACGAGTGTGCTGTCAGCGGGAGCACGCCCATGGCCAGGTACCTGTGCAAGGGCCGCGACCCCAGCTGCGCCGCCAAGCTACCGCAGGTTCCCTGCAAGCAGCAGGAGGCGGAGATGCTGGACATCCTGAGTCAGCTCAAGGCTCAGTCTCAGGTCAGACGGTGGGCACGATGGGGAGGCACAGAGAGGCGACAAAGAAGTCTGTGGGTTTTCTCTAGACCAGCGACAGAGAATATTTAAATAGCAGGGAAAGAGGGAGGCATTCTTCCAGTGGCTGGCGCTGTAGGAGTCGGAATAAGCTCACCTGGACTGGTACTTTCTGCATCTCGTAGTGGAAATGCTCCCTTTCACTGTGCAGCAAATACTCGGGCCGGGTGAAGTTCCACATCCGAGGGAAACTAGAAGCATTTTTACAATAGAACCCAAACTCACCACCCACACCCTCCACGAACTTAGGAAGCCCCGGGGCTTTTCAGAATGGATGCTCCTTTCTCAGTTCTAGGGGAGTGATGTGTGAGCTCCTCCTTGAGTACTTGATATGACTTGGACTCTGGTTGGCTTTGCAAGACAGTAGTTGTGCTGATGCGCTGGGGAGTGTCACTGACTCTCCTTTTTCTAAAGGTCTTAAGACACAGCTTGCTCATCATCAAAGCTGGTAAATAACTGTTTAGACTTTATCCCAGGCTCTTAAATTTGTCTAACGTCAAACGTCACTAAGTTGGCATCCTGTTGTGTTTTCTGTAGGTGCTGGGCTGGGTCCTGATCGCAGCCGTCATCATTTTACTTCTGGTTATGAAGTCTGTCACCCGATGCCTCTCTCCGGTTAGTTATCTGCAGCTAAAGTTCTGGGAAATATATTTGGAAAAGGAGAGGCAGATCCTCCAAAGTGAAGCCACGGAGCATGCGACCCAGCTGGCAAAAGAGAATGTTAGATGTTTCTTTGAGTGCACAAATCCGAAAGATTGCATCACCCCAAGCAGTAAAGCCTGGCAGCAAATCTCCGCACTGTACACATTCAATCCCAAGAACCAGTTCTACAGCATGCTGCACAAGTATGTGAACAGAAAGGACATGAGTGGCAGTCTTCGCTCTGTGGAAGGAGATGCAGTGGTTCCCGGCCTTGGCTTTGTAGATGCGTCAGGAATGCTCACCACTCATGGGGTGTGATCTTACAAATGAACGGGGAAAAAAATCATTTTGAATTGTTGCTTTATATAAAAATAAACATTAGTATGTTTTATGGTTGATCGCTTTCTTCCAAATTGTGAGACTTTTAGATCCAAAACTGGAACATACGTTTGACCATTGTTTTTCTTGTGTTCATTGTTAAAAAAAAAAAAAAAAAAAAAAAAAAAACTGAGAGAAAATAATCTACCCAAAGTAATAATGTAGATTAAAAGTTTTATATCTTTATTCCAGGTTTGTGTCAAATAAGAGCCATCGGTGAAGGAATAACTGAACTTCAAATCTTTCTGTTACATTATTTGATGTTAATTTCAAGGTTGGGGTTTTGTTGTTGTTTGCAAAAGACAGAGTATTAGAAACCTATCACTTACGTCATTATAGCTCGCTTTATGCTGTAGTGGAGAGCACGCTTTATTTCCAGTCAGGTTCCCTGCGACTGTTCAAGTACTATGACATTTATGATTCTAATATGGTTTCTGTATGGAAATTAATCATGAAAAAGGAAGCTGTAGGCAATGTTTCTTTTTTCCTTCCTGAGGTCAAAGGCTGGGTGTGGCAGCCCACACCTTTAACCCTACCACTCAGGAAGCAGAGGTAAGCAGGTCTCTGAATTTGAGGCCACCCCAAATTCCAGGGCAGACAGGATGTGATCCTGTCTCAAACAAAACAAAACAAACAAACAAACAAGAAATATTTGCCTACTTGTGCTGCGTTCATTTTCTAAGGTCAGGGGAAACTTTCAAAAACTATCCACGATGGTAAGTTTAAAGTGCACGTAGCAAAAAGAGACACTGCCTGCCCAGGCCATACAGATACGAGGGAAAGAAGGAAGGCACAGATCGTGCAGTACCTTACAACTGAGATTTGGTTTTCAGCCCAAGATTTGGCTTCCAGCCTATTAGTGTGTGTGTGTGTGTGTGTGTGTGTGTGTGTGTGTCCTGCACACACCCACCCGCCCACCTATACACACATTTTTACAGCTTACTAGCCAAAGTGGAGGTGGTGGAGGCAAAAAGGTTGTCTCTCAAGCAGAAAGAGAGAGGAATGAACTTGTTTGCGTCGTTGGTGATCAAAACAGGCAAAGTACGCTTTGTTCATAGACACAGCTGGGTTGCTGATGGGCAGGACTGGAAAACTCTGTGAAAGCAGCTACAGAATCCTGCTCAGTGAGACCTTTCGAGAATACCTACCTTTCCTTAGCTTGTCATTTCTGCCCATCCCCCAAGACGTATGGATGGCTTCTTCCTGTATTTTTAAAACTGTGAAATCTCTAAACTGTAAAGCAATTAAACACTCATCAGATTTAGTTCTCTTCCCTCCCTGGAAAGTTCTGTTGGCCATTTTTTCCCCATTAGTCGTCACTGGTGGATGTCCTGCTCTGGAGGGTCATGTTTAACAGGAAACTTGGCAGGGTAAACTACACGAAGGGGCCTTTTCCCTCCCACAAAGGGTGTACTTTTGAAATCAGACCATGTCTAGTTTCATTTCTCATTCTCTGTTTCATTTTCCAGCTTTGTTTTGTGTGTTCAACCCTTTCAGATGTGTTGCATTTTCTCCATTGTTTTCGCTTGTACTCCACATTTTTGCCTGGAATTTATACTGAGCGAGTTCCAGGGCAGCCAGGGACACACACACACACACACACACACACACACACACACACACACACCATTTCTCAACAAACAAAACAAACAATAAAGGAAGGAAGGGAGAAAGAAAGGAGAAAGAAAGAAAGAAAGGAAGGAAGGAAGGAAGGAAGAAAGAAAGAAAGGAAAATCCTTATATACTTTTGATTTTTGGATTTGGGGATAACTGTGTAATTAGACAAAACTTGGAGTTCTGCATGGTTGTTGAGATATGCAGTCAACCAAGCAGTTTTATATCTGTAACCTGGGTTTATGGATTACCCACAAAACAAATTATTCACATTCAAGATTGAAGATTTGAAAATTAGATAGAATGAGCATGAACGGTCACATGGGCAGTGGAGGTCAAACAGGAGCTGGGGTCTGACCTAGTGTGACTCCTTGGCTGTTTTTGTTACTAACTCATAGTTCCCTTCTTAGCCATGTGTGCCTGTGAGCAGAGACTGAGGTGTTCTCAGTTAGGTCCAATACTTCACATTTCACTTTGAAACATCAGCTAAGATAGCCAAGACTACTTTGAACTAACATTATGTGACCAAGACACAACAGGATTATTTCCTGGTGAGGACATGCATTGTCATTGGGCAAGACACACCAGTCCTCCTCTAGGCTTGCCCACATGGACACAAGATGCATGTTCTGACTTGCTGTATGTTTGCCGACTTAACAGATGAACTTTCATTATCGCTAGCTTCATGCTGTCCCGAAACTTTAATCTTAAGAGAGATGTAGGAGAGAGACTGTGTGGTTAAAACTTGCTGAAAGACAAATGTATATTATCGCAAGAGACGACTCTCTATTGTGATGAGTGCTAGGCAAGGTAATACAGTTCAGAAACCATAGATCGAGCATGATCTCCACCCCAGACCATGGCTAAAAATATCAGCTGATAAACACTGTGAGTCCCCAGGGAACACCTGATGCTACAACCGTGTCCCAAGTGCTTCTGACTGAACAACCACTGGGAAACCCTGTTTCACAATATACTACATCTTATCTAGCAGGTGGCTTGTGGTAAATAATCCTCTAGACAACAAAAGACAGAGAAATCCTCTTTGGGCCAGCCACTTCAGCAACAGCTGATGCTTATTTTGTCAGCTGCCAACTGTGGCAGTCTTCCCAATGCAGGTGTCTGCTTCTGGCACTTAGACATTGACGGAGATACAAATTGTTGACACCAGCCAATCTAGAGGCTGAGCTCCTGCCGCTGAGGAGGAGACTTTTCTCAGTTTCCAAAACAGGAAGTCCAACTTGTCACTTGTGGGCAAAAGAAGGACTTGTAGGGTATGGCTGTCTCTAACGCTGAGAACTTCATACAGCGTTTTATGGAAGTAATAGATTTCCTGGCATTGGGCTGTGGAAGTGGGGCTTGCAAGTGGATAGAATTTGAAACATGGAAGTAAGTACAGCTACTGGCTGGCTAGTCAACATTCACAACTGGGAGGCTCTCACGGGCTGAGGATTTCAGTAGTGGGTTTCCTGTTGACCCATTATTATTCAGAACCCGCCCCTTAAGCAAATGGGTCTTGTGGCTGGGACAGGTTTCCACTTATTTCATTTAGTTTCTGTTGCTGGATGGACACTGGTCAGCAGAAGTCTACGGGAAGAACGGAATTATCTGGAGGCAAGAACTAAAGCACAGACCTTGGGAGAACCCTGCTTACCGGCTTGCTTCTGCCTACTTCCTCAGCCTGTTTCCTATTCATCCTAGGCTGACTAGCCTAGGGGTGGCACCTCCCACAGTGGGCAGGGCCCTACTATGTTAATTAAAGGAATCAGGGCAATTCCCTAAAGTGAGGTTCCCTACTCAAGGGATTCTAATTTGTGACAAGCGGCTTCCTGATAGAGCTTCAGTATAATAGCAGATTAAGATAAATAGAAAATCAACAATAGTGGATAAAATTAGGGACCACTCCAGGAGTCCAGTGTTCTTCTGATATGATTCTCGGAGAATCTGGGAAATAGGAAAATATGCCATTGAAGAAACCAATTACAAGTTTTCTCCAAATGGAAAAAGGTTTGAACTTTGAGACAATGGTCAGAATAAGTGGATGGACAAATATCCAGTGTAACATGGTACAGCTTCAGGACATTAAGGCAATGGGCAAAGTCCTCAATTTTACCAGACAAATAGAACAGACTGAGGATAGAGACTCAAAAAAGCACCGTGTTCTGAAAAGCAACTGCAAGGCGGCGGGTGACACTGTTTTCACAAGCGTTATCTCCTGTTTATTCTGACCACTAGCAGAGTTCACTGTCTTGTAGAAAAAGCCTTACACTAAGAAAGGCAAGGGATCGCCGCAAAGAAACAAGGGCTCCATGGAAGAGCAGAAAGTCCCAGAGATAATAGTTGAAAGGAAGCATCTTAGAGGAATTACAAGGCAAAAGCATCCTGTCCATAAGTTCAGCCCAGATAGGAGGCCTGAAACAGGAAAAAAAGTTACAATAATGTTTCTTGGGAAACCACTAAGATCTCAAGTTGTGGTTGCTTTTAAATGCATTCCCGCAGTCCTTGAAGTTCTCTCATGCAAGAGGTGGACATTAACCCCTCCCTCATGAGTGTGCTGGGCTGAGCAGCTCAGTTAAACTGACGAGAAAAAGGTAAAATAGATGACAGAGTCTTCAAACTCTCCTCTGACAGAGGAGATGGGGTCAGCAAGTGTCCTGTGTGTGTGGTTGAGGTGGGGACTGTGCGCGAGAAAGCCCTCAGTTTTTCTAGGCAAGAGTTGAAAAATAGTGCATTCCACAGAAATCCCAACAAAAGACAAACATGGGTATGATGCATTCGGAAACATCATAAATAGCAGAAAGTTGGCTTGTACAGTAGGTGGGAGGCACTGGAAGCCCACAGGGAATCATGGTGGGGTGGCAGTCATGGGGGCCAGGGAGAGAGATGGTCTTATCTTGGTCCTTAAACTATTTTCATAAATTAATTTTAAAGGGTAAATAAAGAAAGAAAGAAGCAGGGTTATTGGTAAAACACCTACTGAAAGATATGGAAGAATCTGGAAGGATGTCAGTGCTGCCTTTACTGCCTGACATCTTCAGCAATGTTCAGTCCTCTCAAGAGGCCTTCCGGTATGGCCATTGTATCTACACAAGAGGCCTTCCGGTATGGCCATTGTATCTACACAAGAGGCCTTCCGGTATGGCCATTGTATCTACACAACAGACATTAGCCTCAGCTGAAGCTTCTCCATGTGTTCCTAGATGAGAAGCTGGTGGTGCGTTGAGTTCCAGCTGGAAGGTTTTGTGGTGGCTTCCTCTATGGATTTAAGGTATGAAAACCTATCCTGTTTTTTCTAGACTTCCCCTCCCCTCATTCTGAATTTTCTTCCCCTTTTTTTTTTTTTTTTTTTTTTTTTTTTTTTTTTTGGAATGTCACCCAAACCCTTTAAAGCAGGAGCGA